TGTATATGCGTGCTGGTACGAAATTCCTTATCTGTTACTTATAATATATTTTTATTCAATTTGAAAATTAATATGTACTAGGCATATATAAAAAATGCAGTTAGGTGAATATATATGCGATTTTCTTTTATATACTGGTAAAATATGTGGTCAGTCATGTATGAAACCTGAAGGATGTTGGCTTCATAAAAATGCTATTAGGCATTATCCCTGTACTGATTGTGATAAACCTACTCGTTTTGAAAGTAGACGATGTCCAAATCATATTAGAAGCTATTATGTTGGTAAACATTATCAAAAGTATTATAAAAAGAAATAGATACTTAATTTTTAGTACCTTGATTTATATATAGGTGAATAGTATATGATATCAGGTATGACAATGTGATCATTTTTTTGTCGTTAACTAATTTGATTATAAAATTTAAAAATAGAGAGTTCTAGCTATATAATTTTTGATACCCAGGTTTTTATATAGGTACTAAAGAGTTTTTATAGAATATAGACTTCTTGAGCGATCTAAAAAGTAAAATGAATACTTTTGTACCTAGGGTATCAAAAAAGTGTCCCAGAACTCCCAAAATTGGCCTACTAACAAAGCAGAGTTAAATATTAATTGTTTTTTTAGAATTAAATTATTTGAATTATTTGACTTGTAATATAAACAATATATAGTAGTTATCAAAAGTGATGCTTGATAGTTTTTTTATAGTAAAACATATAAAAATTTTAAAAATTAAAATTTATTTAATTATAAAAATTAATATTTTTTATATTAAAAATAATTTTTTAATATGATTAGTAAATTCAATATTTGTATTTTATAATAAATAAATTTTATTGGTTTGAACAAATTGAATTGATTTTTTAAAATTATAAAGTTTATAATTCTAAATTTGAATATTCTATAGAATAGATAGACAATATAAAAATAAGATTCACTAATAATTAGTATCATTAATTTTTTAATAATAGAGTTGTAGAATTTGTAGAGTTTACCCATCTATTCTATAAAATATTCCAAAATTTTATATATAAAAAACATATAATATTTGTAAAATTGACTTTAAAATTAAATATAAATTTAAAAAATTTAACTATAATTATTAATAATACTACTATTATATTTAAAGGCAATATAAAATAAAAAATTATTTTTATAAAAAAATATAAGTTTTGATATACAGTAATATAAAATTTACAATTCAATTTTGCAAAATTTACATAGTAAAACTATAATAAAAATCCAAAGTTTTGATAATAAATATTTTTTAATTTTATATAATTAGAAAATTTGATATTTATATTTTATAATGTATTTTTTTCTAATAAAAAAATTCCTAAAAAGGATTATATATATATTTTATTATAAAATTGATCTTCGAGCGTTACTTTTGGTGACTACTGTACATATATGAAAAATAAAATTATATGAATTCTTAGTGCCGATCACTTTTTTGAGGTAATTGTCCAAGCATAAATCAAATGTCACTATCTCAAAGTTTAGATGCAGATATAATGCATTTCAATAAAGTTTACCATATCGGATCATTTTACAATGTATCTATGATAGGTCAAGTTTTACCCAGAGTTAAAAAATTACCAATTTTAATTGGCTAAATTTGTGGACAGGTGATTATTAATTGGCGAATGAAAAATAGAACTCTTGAATGCTTTAGGTCCTAGTAACAAAGTTACATATGCGTTACAATACATAAATTATATTAAACACAGATATTAATTTGTATATTATGAATCGATTATAGGTCGAAAATTTTAAACGCTTGATTAACGAAATCTTTAATTTTTTGTATTCTTTCCGGAATGACCTTTCTGGATTTTTATCGTACCACACTTCGAGTAGGAAGATTCCATTATCTTGACACATGCATCTTTTTTCCGATCACGATTAACAATACTTCGAATTTGTTGAAATCTTTATACCAGCTAGTGTGATGAAGCCGATATTGAGCCCCTTGCACCTTTAACACGATTCGATTACTTCGGAAGAAGGGTTCGACTTATTGTTATTTTAGCATCAGGGAAGTACTACTTACATACTTTTCTTTCACATTGTTGGTTATAAACTTTCTCTGTTAGTTACTAACTTTCTACGTTGGTTACTTACTTTCGCAGGTGATTACTAACTTTCTAGTTGGTTAGTAACCAACGGTCAACCTAATTTCGTGGCTCCACAGCCGATGTGGCTTACCGACCTTATTTTGGTGGGTAATACAAACCCAAAAGAAGAAATTATGAAAATAAACCAAGTGCGTGAAGACAGAAACTTAAGGTTAGAGCGTTAGCATTGGGATATAGAAATAAGGTGACACTTTCCATACGTAAAATTTTGTTGCCGACATTTGCTTTTTTTCTTCTTTCGCACGTGTTCGGATTCTATGTCGGGTCGATTCGGAATGATCAAAATTGAACTCGCTGATTGGCTGTCATTTTTTTAGGAGTTTGTATTACCCGCCAAAATAAGTGGATGCACCGACAGAGACTAAAAGTTTGGTTAACAACCGCTTGACTAATTTGATATTTCCGTGTCCTTGACTCATAGTACAGTACAAACTAATATGTGATACAAAATAGGAAATAAGGAATTTTTATTTTATTACCCAATCAAAAAGTTGGCGGATTATCCGAAATCATGGAAAACGTGTAAATTAAATTCCGAAAACTCCCAATGTAGAAATATTAGCTTTGTTGTGTATGTGTATGTAGTAGATTTATGGGTAAATAGGTACGTACGTACGTCATTTTTAATAGCCTTATTTATGTCATTGAAGTATTTAGCGTTAGTTAAAAATAGTACAGTACGGTATTACATAATCGGACAGACATCCGAAAATTATACTAAATTTTATCGTATTTAAGATTAATTTGTAATGGTTAGGATTGAAGTATTACGTGTAATGTTCTCTTTCGTGTTAAAGAACAGTATAAGAAAACCATTTAAATTTACAAACCATACGTATTATCATGATTTCCACACGTTCATTTTAACTTACATCTCCGTACCGACTATTTTACTGTACACCCGATAATTGATACATTATAAGTGTTACAAAGTAAAATGACATGCAAGTTTAAACAATGTATTTTGAATGAATGGGTCACCAAAAGAAAAATAAGGAAATAAATATGTAGTATATGTAAATATGTAGTTAATCAAACATTACTTACGGATACGTAATTTTGAATTCCGTCACTTAGTTTTCAATTCGGATAATTAGTTGCAAGATATCGATGTATATATATGTTGTCCAGAATTCAAATTTCGATATCATATGAACAATAAATTTTGACTTCCATAATTAGCAAATTAAAGGATATCGATATATGTTACGTATATACCAAATTAACATTAGATCATATATATATATATAAATTTGGATTTGATTATTTGGTTTTCTAATTTACTTAGGGAGTTCAGCAAGGAGATAAGACCATACATTTTATTGTCTTCAGTATCTTGTTATGTTTATAATCCTTTATTGGGATTCAAACAATAATAATAATAAAATAGAATAAGGATTAACAAAATATATATTAAAAATTACAATAAACGAATGAGCCTGTCTGTAATCATTCGAAGAACGAACAATGGAAGAACGAACGATGACAGACAACAATTCGAATTCTTATATACAAGATACAATTATTCAATCTGATAATCAAGATGTTAAATCAAGCATTAATGATGAAAATTCTACTACCGATGCTGAAATTTCAAAGCATGAGAGTAATATGAACATAATTGAAAATGGTATGATATTTTATTAAGAATTATTTTAGCTTTTTGTTTTCTTCTAATTAATAAAGGCGGATCCACTTATGATTCAAGGTAGTAGTACCGTTATCTCGGATTCTGCAAAGGTTCCGATTATCAAACAAGAAATAAAGAGTTTTCAACTTCGTGCTTTGGTATATTATTCTCCCTTTGCTATTTGATATCAGGCATGATTTTCCAATCAATATTAACTATAATTAAAATTATTGACCAGACTCGAAAAACACTTTCTTACCAAAAACGACAAATGTTTACCAATGTCTGTTGTATTACTTTATGTCCTTTCCTGATGGTTGCTATTGCTGGTATAATGGGAATAGTAGTCCAAACTTTGATCAGTAAAACAAATTCTTTTGATGGTATATTTGAATCAAATTTTCTGGTGTTTTGTTGTCGATCTTTTTATAAGTGAAATATAGATGAAATATAATATAACCTATTCTTTTACGTTCTTTATTAGAATTGTTATTTTGCTCTAATGCCAATGCTGAATCTATAATCGGTATGCCATTACCGAGTGATTCGCCCAATATTCCAACACTCCCGTCCGAGCAAGTGCCAAATTCATCAGGCAAAACAAAGTTGGTAAAATTGGTTAACTTTTTCTTACCACCAGCCGATACTTCGACATTTTCCTTTGCGGGTAGTCCTCAGAGTTGTGTGTTTGTGTTTGGTCACGATTATCCGGCTGTTTTGCCTTACCAACCTCCTGTTTCTAGCACCGCCAATTCTACTAGACGCGATACGTATGTGTATATATATATTTATATATTATTATTGATTTATGCTTATTATTTTATTTTTGTTTATTATAATAGAACTTTCAAACCAGATCCTCCCGATGATCCTTGGTTAAACAGTTTATCTCTCAGCTATCCCCCTTTATTATCTTTTTTAAGTCAAATACAAACTTATCCATGGTTTAACTTTCGTGAAGCTCCAGGTGTAAATGTTGGTCTAAAACCACCTCGTGATCCTGTCTCTTCTATTAATAATTTTGGCAATTCAAATTCAACTTATCCCGGCGATTTTGGAATTTTAGGCAACATTAATACAAATTATTATGCTAATATTACCACCACAAGTGATTCATCTGCTCAAGCTCAGAACTTTTTACCAGTTCCATTTTTTCAAAAACCACTTGACAGTAACGCCTACCCTGATATTGATCAACTAGATAAAGCATATGATGATATATTAAGCGATAGTATTCATAATGTGATCAACGAATTAGCTAAAGTAAATAAACTTTCATCAGGTGACAAGAATAATCTGACAAGTACCAAACTATTATATTATAATATCAAAACTGCTGGAATAATAACAAAAATGCCTTGGGGAAATATATTATTTGATTCAGCAAATAATTTTTCTAAACAATGGAATTACACTTTACAAATTGGTACGGATATTCGAATCTCTGCTGCTGCTTCTTTTCCATCTCAAGGTTTAAGAAGAATAGCTCAACAAAGTGATTTAAGTAATGGTATAATAAGAACTGTTAATGGAACTAATGGTGGTGGTGGTCCTGCTACTATTGGTATTACTCCAATGTATCGAGTAATGCCACAATTATTTTCCACTGAAATCAAGGTCCCAATTGGAACTTTAATCGGTGGAATTTTATATCCATTTGGCGTATCATTCCTTTTACCAATTTTCGTAATTACTTTAGTAAAAGAAAAAGAGGATAGAATATTAATTATGATGAAAATGAATGGATTAAAAAGTTTTACTTATTATCTTTCTCATTATATACATTTCTATTTAATCCATATTATTACGACATTAGTATTTGTGATCACTGGGTTAATTTTCAAAATGGAAATATTTACAAAAACCGATCCAGGTGTTTATGTTATATTATTTTTTGTTTGGGGTCATGTTGAAATTGCTTTAGCATTTTTATTTTCTTGTTTTTTTTCAAAATCAAGAATTGCTATGGTTGTTACTTTTTTAATTGTTTTATGTGGAATTATTGTTAGTTTTGCTACGGCTTCTTTATTTAATAGTCAAGATTCTGCTCCTTTGACATATTTTTTGTGGCCTCCATTTGCATTTTATAGATGTCTGGCGGTGATTAATGTTGCTAGTATTAATTTATTTACTCCACCATATAAAGTAAGCAATTTGGTTGTAGGAAATGAAGTTTTTAATGGAATAATATTTATGGTGGTCGAATATTTCGTTATATTTATTATAACATTTTATTTGACTAGCGTTTTACCTAGCGAGTATGGTATTTCTAAACCTTGGTATTTCATATTTACCGAACCATATGAGATTATAAGAAATCGTGGTAAAAAAGATATAAAGAAAGATAAGGATATTGTTGAACTTGAACAAGGAAATATAGAAATTGATTCAAGTGAAATATTACATGAAGATGATGATGTTAAGGAAGAAAGAAAGAAAGTTCTTGGAAATAATTATGATCCAGATTCTCCATTGGTTATGAAACGTATGAGAAAGGTTTATCCTAATGGAAAATTAGCAGTTAAAGAAGTTACTTTTGCTGTTGATAGGAATATTATCTTTGGACTTTTGGGACCTAATGGCGCAGGTAAACAAATCTTCATTCATTTTAAGTCAGTTATCAATACAATCCATGAATGCTAATTTTATTATCGTAACATTTAGGAAAAACAACGTTAATTAGTATTTTAACTGGATTATATCCGCCGACTTCTGGTTCCGCAACAATAAATAACTATGATATTCACACTAATATGCAAGAAGTTTATATGTCTATAGGTGTATGCCCTCAACATGATATTTTATGGGATGATTTAACAGTTGGTAAATAAAAGCATATAAAATTTGGATACGTATCACTTCACCGACGGTCATTTCGTAGACATAACATTTCACCGACAAAAATTCACCGACAATTATT